GCCCCTATCCCTTGCGGGGTATTTAAAATCGTGCACTAGACCCTCAATCGTATATGTATGTATTGCGAGGTTTCGGGAAAGTTACTCCTATCGTATATGTATGTATTGAGCAGTTTAAGTGTTAACTGGTTCACGAACTTGTACTGGTCCTTGACCGGATGGGAATGAGCTTGACACTTTCACACTCTTCGAACGCCCCTGGAGTCTACAATTTTTCTTTTGAGTCCGAGCAGTGGACACGAGCGGCATCCAACATTTTAAAAATGTTTGTTAAAAATTTTAATTTTATCCGATCAATCTGGGAGTGATTTTAAAATGAGCGTCTTTAGATTGCACACAATTTGATACCAAAATGAAAGATGTAACATGAAAATTGACGTCAGAACACTGGAAAGATTATAAATACTTTTTGGTGCAAATTTTAAAATATCTTAAAATTCTATTTATTGTGCTATTATTATGGGACTAGTTTAAAAATGCACGCCTTTAGATTGCGAACAATTTGATACCAAAATGAAAGACGTAACACGAAAATTGATGCTATCAAACTGAACGAGTATAATCAAGAAGTTTCCTGTAAACCTATCGACAAACAGCATTGGTTCAAACTGAAGTCAGGCATATGAGTATAAGGGTGCCTGACCACAGCAGTGTGATCATTCTCAACTCATCAAGAAGAACTACCACCACCTCCGATCGTCCTCCACCTAGCCTTGCCAATCACTTGAACCGAATGGTAGAGCGACTGTCTTGCTTCATGCATATCGGCTTTCAATCCCCAACTGTCAAAGTGGTTGGGCACCATTCCTTCCCCCAGTCCCATCCCAAATCCTTATCCTGATCCCTTCCCAGTGCTATATAGTCGTAACAGCCTGGCACTTTCTCCTTATAGTTCCCTTCCCTTCTCTCCATCTAGCCATCCCAGCAGATGGACTTTGTTACAGTCACCAGCCCTCACTATCTCTGCCACTATCAGCACTCAACAGCCTCATCTTAACACTTTCGCGCTATCTGGACGCGCCGGCGCGTCCCGTTTCGTCTAACGCTAACGCATAGTGGACATAAAGTTGAGTCCTCTTTTAAAATATTTGTATAAAATTCAATTTTTATCCGATTTACTTTGGGTTTGTTTCAAACTGCGCGCTATGAGGCTCTCTTTCTCACCACTAGGCTGCATGGTACAATAAGTTCATGAAAGGTGTGGATAACTTCGATCAAATGGTATTTTGTCCCAAACGGGTTGCAGGTGGGTGACTTTAGCCGTTTATACTGGTAATGCTTCCCCCATATCATGTATTATATGCATATGTCTGTTTAGGGAATTTTATTCCGATCAATATACAACCAAAAATAACTGTGTGCAACAAGTATAAACTTGACAAACATAACAAAAGTAAAAACATTTCGTGTGTGTTTGACGCTCACTGATATGTTCCAGCGTTGTTTTATATTTGGCGCTATTCTAACTTACGCTTTGTTGATATTTTTTACCTATGGGCACATAGAACATTCTATTGCGAACACATTGACACAAAAATGAATGACGTACATAGAAAATTAATGTCATGAGAGTGAAATAAGTATAAACTTTCAAAGCGCCGTGCGTCGTCCCGTCACCGATACCGGGTAACAATTTCACCACTTCCCACACTCTTGCGGGCGGGCCGCATCATTATTCTACGCTTATATTCATATCACCGTGTTGGGAATTTCATTGCGAGTCCATTGATACCAAAATTAACGCTGTAGAATAAGTGTGGAGGTGATTACAATCCCAAGAGTAAAAACATTTTGTTGCTGATGGGCGCTCACGGCGAGTCATCTTCGTAGTTATTTATTTGGTGCTGGTATCCCTATACGTTTCGTGACTTTTTTTACTGATGTTCTTCTAGAGAATTTTATTGCGAACACGTTGGTACCAAAATGAAATACGTAGCATGAGAACTAAGGTCAGAAGAGTAAAAAGAGTATACACATTTTTGTTTTTACGCTTAAGCGATAAAAACGCTGCGCGCACATTCGGTTGGCTGAGTGACCTTTGCCGAAAGCGCGAAAGTGTTAAGCTCACCTTGTGACAATGCTGTCCTTCCATACAACCACTTCTGGAACCATTTACATCAAATATATATGTAGTTGCCACATTGTGTGTATGTATTGTCCAACCAGTCAGGGTACCTAAGAGAGGTTAGACAACTTAAGTTTGTAGTTAAATCATTCGCAGTACAAAAGCAAAGGGTTGTCCTAAATGGAAATGATTCTGACTGGTATAAATGTGATGAGTGGAGTGCTACAGTACAAGGTTTCATCCTGGGCACAACCCTTTTTGTCAAATACATCAATGACAGATGAGAATATTACAAGCCACATTATCAAATTTGCAGATAGCAATATGATCTATGGTTTAAATAAGAATCTAAAATGATACTGAGGCTTTTTAATATTGAAAATGCAAGACCTTGCATGTTAGGCATAACAATGCACATCATAACCATCAAATCAACATTACCATGTGGCAGACTTATGAAGAAAAGGATAATAATAATTCATAGTTTCAGGGACAAACAGCCAGTGTGTATTCATAAATGTTAGGCTTATATCAAGGTCTCCCTACCCCTCAACACACTGGAAATCAGGATGACGGATATCTCATTGCGACTTAAAATAGTGAACAAGTTGGAGGATATTTCCCAGCCACTTCTTTAAAAAGGTCAAATGGAACATATTCAAGTGGCAACAGCTTCAAGCTCAGCAAGCTACAACGTAGGATAGAAAACAGTAGATGCTTTTTCACCTGCCTGCCAAAGTTGTAAATGCCAAGCCTTTCAATTCAAAATCCAGTTGGAAAAAAATCCTCAGGAACAATGAGAAGAACTTTGACAAGCTGCTGGCTTCCTGTTCCTGTCAAGGCCACTAGAGATAATGGCCACCTAGGTACACTCAGGTTTACCAGACAGCAAACTACACCTTCCCCTAGGGATGCCATATTTATGGCACCATTAAAGTGGTCAGAAAACCATTCACTCAACTATTAGGAATCCATGCCGTTCTCCACTTAGGGGAACATGAGAAAAAAGTACCATTAATGTTTCCCTTAATTAGTGGTAAAACAGACTACCATGCAGTAAGCACTTTATTGCTTGCTTAATTATCATATACAGTATAATACTGTACTGTATTTAGAACATGCATGTCAGACCAATGTGTGAGTTGTTAGAGTAGGGTATGTATTCCAGATGATAATGGTGGTAAAATATGAATACTGTAGGAATGAGTTATTTAATTACAGTCTCCGTGGCGTAGTGCTAAGGCACTCGTCTGGCGTTTCAAGAGCGCTTTGTCCTGGGTTCCTATCCTGGTGCAAATCTTTAACTGTAGCTTCTGTTTCCCCAACAGTAAAATGGGTGCCTGGTTGTTAAACAATTTGGTGGGGTCATATTCCGGGGAACTTAGGATTAAGGACTTGCCCGAAACGCTATGCGTACTAGTGGCTGTACAAAAATGTAAGAACTCTTGTATATATAAAAAATAAAAAAATAAATTGTTGTTATTTTTTAAATTATTTTTCTTAGTTTTAAAATTAGTTATTTTAGTTTAATTCATTATACAACCCATATATACCTGTCCCATAAGGAGCAGTGGAAATGGTATAGAGGCACATATAAATGGGCTGAGGAACTGAATCCCAAATTTCATTTAGCTAGGTATGTTATAGCATTGATGAACTTATCTAACATAAAAAATGTAAGAAGCAAAATTATTTTATAATACCTGAATAATCACTCCACATATCTGAAAATTTCTTACACATTATAATACAGTATTTTCTGAACTCTCAGGAATGCTAAATATAATTAAAAAGAACCCCACTTAAATATTATTTGAATAGTGTGTTACATAAGAATGTGAATAAACAGGTGGGACATCATTAACTTTTTATTATAACAAATTCTAAATGTTTTGCCTTGGTAATTCAATTGACTTTGAAGAGGAGAACAGCAGCAAACACAAGCTAGCACACACATATACATAAGGGTTTATGAAGTTAGTAAATGGAATGCACTAGGAAGTGATGTGGTGGAGGCTGACTCCATACACAGTTTCAAATGTAGATATGATAGAGCTCGAGAGGCTCGGGAATCTGTACACCAGTTGATTGACTGTTGAGAGGCGGGACCAAAGAGCCAAAGCTGAACCTCCGCAATCACAACTAGGCAAGTACAACTAAGTGAATACATTAAATCTAATGTGAACAAAGTTATCTGTGTACAAAACTGATGGTAAGTAAAATGCTTGTGTATGAAATGTGACCAGACCCCCATTATGAAGTAGGTAAATTAAATGCTACAAGCACTCGAGATGGCATGACAACACAATCCAGGAGCCACTGTTGCCTAGGAATAGGTTATATCATAAAATTTGTTTTTACAAATAAAGCTTTACTGAAAATTAATATATTCTAATATCAGAGTCCAATTTTGTTGATAACAGCCCATCTGCACATGCCAACCCCATTTAATGTGCAGATTCCAAATTCATGCATATCTTAATGTTGACAGACACAGGTGACAGCACAATAATATCCAGCGACTTGCAGCAAAAATATATCTTGAGAAAAATATTGTACTGCACCATAAAAAACAAACTATACAAATAATAACAATAATAATATGTACAAGTACTGTTGACTATGTGAGGTACTAGAGTAGCTTACATAAGGTAAGGCCATACTCCCGTGTTAGTGGTGTTCTTGATGATGACTCCAGACGACCACCACACTAGACGTGTCCGCCCTCACACGGGTGGCACGGTCGCCTCTGACCAAGAATGTGTGTAAAAAATGGTCATTATGACCCTTAGTAACAGTTATGAAAGCCTCCGGCCCGTCCCAACTTACTTAAGACTGCCACCTTTTATTATCCTACAGTGACCGCAAAAGCTGTCAGGTGTCAATAAAATATATGTTTTATCCCGTGTGAGAAAGATAAATACAAATGTCTTACTGGTGTAATAAGAGGTGTAGAGAGAAGAAAGAGCGGACTCCGGCAGAGATGAACAGCGCCACTGCGCAAGAAGTCTCCCGGACCTCCCACTAGGCGGCGCCCCCAACCACACCGCCTCCCGCCTCTACCATCAACTCCACTACATTATTATCCCAACTACTCCAGCTCTCCAAATTATTGTCAGAATTAAATTTTTAAACAATGAGGTTCCCTGGATGGTGGTTTGGTTACAAATGACGTAATATAGTGTTGACACGCCAAGAGGCTTTCTAACCCGGCTCCTTTGCTCGTGAACGACCAACAGCTGCTGGCATATGGCTACCGCATTAGTCGTACTCACCTAATTGTGCAGGCAATGAGTCACAATAACGTGGCTGAAGTATGTTGACCAGACCACACACTAGAAGTTGAAGGGACGACGACGTTTCGGTCCGTCCTGGACCATTCTCAAGTCGACTTGAGAATGGTCCAGGACGGATCGAAACGTCGTCGTCCCTTCGACTTCTAGTGTGTGGTCTGGTCAACTCACCTATTTGTGTTAGCAGGGGTTGAGTTTCTATTTTTTTTTGAGGGGAGGGGGGCTAATATGGGTGCTCAGTTCCCACCTGCCCCCCCCCCTTCCTTTGTGCAGGTATCACCCGTGTCAAATAATGCTTTTTATCTACCCTATCGATTCCCCCGATTATTTTGTATGTGGTAATCGTGTCCTAAAGTGGTAATCAAGAATCCTAAGGGAGGGAATCATTCACCATTTTTCAGTGAACAATCTTGTGAAATCGACACATGGGTTTGTTAAAAGTAGAGCCTGCCGTACTAACCTACTCACATTCAACAAGTTCAACTTCAAGTAAGTTTATTGAGAAAAAGGAAGTTCATCTCAAAAGTATAGAGTAGCTTAGGCTATTTCTACCCTCGTCTTCACACTGCTACCCGTTGAGGGTATGGACACAATGCAACCCAAACGTCTAAAGGTTAGAGCTACCCCCTTGACGGTCATGCTTTCGGGAGAAGCAATATTCTTAAAGTCCTGAAGGACGTTATCGGCATCACACCCACTGACATTAGCCAGGAAGGTTATCATTTCGTGCGCTTCTTGTCATGTGAGGAAGTGCTAGAAAAATTCTTGGCCAATGATGCCATACTTCGCAAGGAGCACCTCCTACATCCTCACTTCCCACGTCAGTTCTTAGCCGGAAGAACTGTTTTTACCAGCAGGATCAGCCAGTGGATCGCTGACCGACCGCAACATAATATTATGGACAATATCGAGGACGAAAATCTGAACCTGGGTGTATTCAACCTAGAGTTCTGCAGCACCGACAAATCATCAATGAAGATTGCTTTCACCACCATAGCTGAAGTCACCCAGGCTGCCACACAAGATTTCTACTGCTTCGGCTTACAATTACAACCCCACCAAGTAAAAAAGGAACGATACCATGAGATCCAGCAGTGCTTCAAGTGCTACGAGCTCTCCCACTCCACCAACAAGTGTCAGCACCCCGTCCAGAAGTGCAGCCTGTGCGCACTGGACCATCACTACTCCATATGTAAGGCAACAACCCATCGCTGATTGCTCTGTGATGGCAATCACTCCGCAATTTCCTACCGCTGCCCCCGCAAACAGGAAAGCATCAAGGCCCAGGTTGAAGCAAAGAGAAACAACCCTTCTACCTCCGCGACCAGAGTGTTCAATCTACCACCTCAACTCCCACCAACCGACCAAAAGGCTTTCCGGTCTTACCAAAAAGTGGCTCCACCCAACAGGCGACCCAGCCTTCACAATGGGGGACCCAAGGCCCCCACAGGCTCCTTCACAGTCCCCTGCATCACGTGCAGGCATTATCCCTGGTCTTATTAGACTAGCATAGAGGCTTGCCGGACCAGACAACCACCGTTTTTTCAGTGAACTGAACGCATTATACATAGCCAATGGCCTGGCCCCCATCATAGCTCCTGGCACAAGTCTCACTGCCTTCACTACCACTCCGGAGACTACCACCAGGACGACCACGAGGTCGATTTCAACACAGACTCCAGAACTACCCATGACCCAGGTGACACAGAGGTATTTCCCTCTCCAGCTCCCAACACTCCTACCATCATCATCTCAGCAGCCGCGCTAGCAGACGTGCTGTCTACAAATGCTAACATCACCACCAACACTCTTGAAATACCGTCTACCACCAATCCACGACACCTGAATCTATCATAGGCTGCAAGGCGAAAGACGAAAACACCACCTACGGATGTAAGGACTCCTCAAACAAGGAAATCTTAGTAGGAGCTCCACCGCCGCACCACAATTACAACAACTACTCGGTACAAGACTTTACGGAGGCCACCTCACCAAATTCCAACGATGGCACGGCTCAGCCAGTCCCAGGCAAAGAAAAAACTGAAGACCTAGAGGTCTACACTAAGCCCCACTAGCTCCATTACTGTTACAGCCAGCGCTCCAGGACTGAAGACTCACATCCATCCCCAGATCTCTATTATCAGCCATTGATACAGATAATGGCTCCAAAGAGCCTCCACTTACGGGCTCACCATAGCCCTTGCTACTTGGAACTTTGTGTTCTGCGTAGCTGAATCTAAAACAAAAACAACCGATTGGGAACCCAACTAAACTCCACTGTCTTAAATTTGCTGGAGATAAGAAACAGCCAATGTTGAATTTCGACTACCACAGGATGGACTGGGTTAAAGGACTTCAGAGCCATGAGGGCACTGCGAGTCAACTATTGCGAGTCAACAAAGGAAGATTGACAGCTAGAAAGCAATTGACGAAGAGCATACAAAATAGCATAGAGTTCTGATGAGAAGATGCTAGTCTCTAAAGGCAGGTGACACATACGGTTGTGGTCAGGAAAAACAACAGAGTAGCCTACGTATACACCGTTTGCAGACGAGCTTTAGTCACGTGGGTCATGGTTTTTACAAAACTTAGGGGACCCTTCCTATGTTTTGAAGGCCCGAAACACGACCCGAAAGAGAACCGTACAGAAAGAGGTAGAGATTGGAAGGGGTAAAGGTCAAAGTACGACATAAGCGAGAGTGTAGGGACACTACTCTTAATTGTAGGGACTGGTTAAGGTAGTGAAGATGTACTAGCTCTCTATAAATTCATCAAAATCTGTATCACCCCTTGTATGTATGTACTTTACCTTAATAAACATTTGATTTTATTTGATCTGAGTAGCAATCACGGGAATCTTGTAGACAGATTTGCCAGTTTCAACATACAGGCTTAGAGTAGGAGAGAGGGGCCCCTGACAGCTGAGTGGACAGCGCTTCGGATTCTTTTTTTTTTTTTTTTTTTTTTTTTTGAGATATATACAAGAGTTGTTACATTCTTGTACAGCCACTAGTACGCGTAGCGTTTCGGGCAAGTCCTTAATCCTATGGTCCCTGGAATACGATCCCCTGCCGCGAAGAATCGTTTTTTCATCCAAGTACACATTTTACTGTTGCGTTAAACAGAGGCTACAGTTAAGGAATTGCGCCCAGTAAATCCTCCCCGGCCAGGATACGAACCCATGACATAGCGCTCGCGGAACGCCAGGCGAGTGTCTTACCACTACACCACGGAGACTGCAAATTCGTAGTCTTGAGGTTCCGGGTTCGGTCCCCGGTGGAGGCGGGAACAAATGGGCAGTTTCTTTCACCCTGATGTCCCTGTTCACCTAGCAGTAAATAAGTATTTGGAAGTTAAACAGCTGCTAGGGGCTGCTTCCTGGGAATGTGTAACAAAAAGGAGGCCTGGTCGAGGACCGGGCCGCGAGGACACCAAGCCCCCAAATCATCTCAAGATAACCTCAAGGAGTCGAACGAAAGGCACCACAGGTGAGGCTGTTGTTTTAGATTCAGCTACTCGAAACAAAAATTTCTATGTAGCACGGGCTATGGTGAGCCCGTAGTAGCTGAGTTGTTGTTGTTGTTAAAGATTCGCTACCTGGAACAAAAAGTTCCAAGTAGCACGGGCTATGGTGAGCCCGTAGTGCCTTTAGTAGCTGAGGCGTAACCCAATATGGTGCAGAGCATCAAGACGGCGAAGAGTTGGAGGCAGACGAGTAAGCAGGACAACTATAATCACGAGAGAGGAATGTAAAGACGAGGAGCGTGCGCTTATCAGCTCCCACAGAAGTATGGGACAAGACCTTAAGTAAGGTCTTAGAGCATTCAACTCGGAGGTAAGAGATATAGGGCGACCAAGACAAACGAGTGTCAGAGACTAACCCCAAAAGCCATAACCATAAAGGGACTAAGGGGGACGAGAAACGACCTGCTTCCAAGTAAAAGTCATATAGCACAAGTTTTAGTTGAAGAGAACTTGAAGCCATGATTGATGGCCCCAGGACGAAACGGCTTAAATCGCAGGTTGAAGCCGCCGTTGGAGGAAAGGCGAGACATCACTTCGACAGAAAAGGGCAAGATCAACAACATAGAGAGCTGAGAAAATGCCAGAGGGAAGGGGGGAAAATAGACCATTGACAATAAATCAGGAAAAAAAAAGAGTAGTGCTCAGAACACTACCTTGGGGTACACCTTCGTATTGCCGAAAAGAGGCAGAGAGAGTGGTACCAAGCCTCACTCTAAATGACTAGAGGAAGCTTTGTAGGAAGAGAGGGAGATTACAGTAAAGGCCAAAAGAACAAAGTTGGGACAGAATCTAATATCTCCTGGTGATGTCATACGCCTTTTCCAGGTCAAAGAGGACAGCAGCAACAACGGAGGTCTTCGCAGACATCCGAACATGTGAACATATCCACGAGGATATGTTTAATATCCTCGTGGCAGTCTTTCAGTTTCCTATCACCAGTTGCAATATGGTGCGAGAGAATAAATGCGGCAATGCTGGCATTTAACCGGGCATTTTTTGGTGATTCGAACAGGGTTTTCCCCAATGCAGGACAACGAGGCTAAGCAGTCAGCCGCTTCCTGAGAAGGGGCTGTAATGACGTGTATCAGTACGGGTGTAGTTAATAGTGACAAAGCTATCCACTGAATCAACTAAGTGTTTATGGATGAATAAATCATCAGGACGTGTAAAACTAACATGACTGAGATCAAAATACTTTATCCATGTAGCAAAGCCAAACAAAGCTTGTTATTTTTTATTTTTTTTTTTTTGAGATATATACAAG